CCTCATTTAACAAGTTAATTTCAAAATGTGAAAAATCCCTTGCAACAAAAAAAAAAAAAAAATTTTATAAATGTCATCCATCATGTAAAGATTAATTTTTTTTTTTTAACGTCTGAGTTAAAAATTAAAAAAAAAAAAAAGCTTTTAATTAATTATTATTATTGCTGATTGTAATAATGCTTTTCTCAATACAAAAAAAACATAAAATTGTTTAATTAGAGATAATTAGTTATAAAATTCATTATCCGCCATTAAACTTTTTAATTTTGTTTATAATATGCAAATAAGAATCCAACAATGGACGATGACGTGTTGACGATGAAATGGCGGAATCGAACAGACAAAATTTTGCAAGAAAGATAAATAAATTACGTGGTGTAGTGTTAATTAACAATTATTTACATTTAAAAGAAAATTGATTTCGTTTAAATAATTATAATTAGTATCAAAGTAAATAATTTACCTAACAAAATACATTTACGAATGAAAAAATGAACATTGCGTTAGATACGTTTAAAAAAAAAAACCGTTCAAAAATTTTTTGTTACATTGAATTATCATAGAAGGCGGTGATTTCGAATTTCATTTGTTTAACGGTAGAAAAATTATTAAATGAAAACGATAAATGATTTTAACTTACGTTAAGTGTAATATTCACATTTTTCGCAAATTTAAATTAACACAAATTAATTTTAATGTTTATTATGTAAATAATTTTAAATTTTTAATAATAATAATAATTTATCCTATGTTAATAAACATCACAACCGCACAAATAATAATAATAACTAATAACTGACTTAACACATAAATAATTACTTAATTTTTTTTTTAAATATGATATTATCCGATAATTATTTAATTAAAAAAAAAAAAAAAAAAAAAAAGCAAAAAAAATTTATTTATTTATTATTAATAAAAGCCCGCGATGTTTTAATAATAATAATATTTTTTAACCGTCACAAAAAAAAAAACTTATTCCTTCACCTTACACCATTACTGTTCAACCGAGACTGACGAAACTCATGAAACGAAGGTCGTGAATCCTCGGTTGTTGTCGGTCGTGGCCCGGTGCACCGGATAAACATAAATTTAGATGAAAAAAAAAAAAAAAATAACCGTTTTTTTTCTTCATGATGATGATAAAAAAAAAAAAAATTATCAATCTAAATTCAATATTCTTTCAAATTTTTTTTTTTTT